TCAGCTGTCATGTCCCTTTAGTCTCCTTAAACCTGGAATATCTCCTTATTCTTTATGCAGCTTTCATGGCTCTGGGATTTTTAAAGATTAGAGACCAGTTATTTTATAGTTGTCTCTCCTATTTCCTCATGTATCCAGTCAAGCTGTGAGGTTCTGTAACTTTTGCTAGGAATATCACTGATTCAGTGGTGGGTTCTTCTCATTTTGTCTTATCAGAGAATAAGCAACTTGGATTATTCTTATTACTTTCAATCATTCCATTAGGGTGGTATCCACCAAGGTCTCCCTGTAAAATCATTTATTTTCTTTTGGAAAGTGAAAATATTTTGAAGCTGTGTGAATACATTAATCCTCAATGAACTTTTACCTACTAGTTTTAATTACTATTTCTGGACAAATTAATTATTAATGACTGCTATCAAATCATGGTTTGTAAATTTCCATCACTGCTTCCACATTTATTAGCCTTCTAGTGCTTGCATTCCTCCACATTTATTTATTCATTCATGAACTTCTATCTAATCCCTATTACCATTAAAGTGTTATAATATCTTCTTAATCATTATTTGTTCATGCTCAAAATAGTCCAGATTTGGCAATTAGATGCTCATTCAAGCTGGCATCTCCTGACTTTTGGCACGACAATACTTTCCAGACATACCTTAGGTAACCTTCCTCGCCATGAACCACTATTTTAAAGTTCTAATTTCTTTTATTGGAAAATGATATGTAGAAATATAGATGTAGGGCGGTAGGCATGCTTGTTTCTCTCAGGATGTTACTGCCTGGGTCATCTAAGTAGATAAACTTGAGAAAGATATGCATGACTATGATGTGAGTATTTGTTCAAGTGTTTATATTCCTTTCCGTATCTTTCTATCAAGCTATCAACTGAGTGACCTCTGATTCTCATCCAAAATATGATCTAGGATTCTGTTGCCACCTCTTCTGAGAGCCCACATCAGTAATTATCACCAACTTTCTTACGTGCATTTTAATAGCTTACCTTCATCCTAAGTAATACATATTCACTGAAAGAGAAGGAAATCAGAAAAAAGAAATGTACAAAGAAGATAATGAATGACTTTTAGAATCCCAAATTCCTGGCCAAACTATTTTAACATTTTGACATATTTCCTCACTGTGCTAGTGCTGATTTCCCTGTAAGCACTATTCTTGTAGCTAATGCTCTATGCTGTTGTTACTTTAAATTTATCCATGCAATTAAATCTTTTTGGGAATTTGTTAATGTATGCATGCTTCCATTTGTCCTATGCCTATTGTTACACTTTGTTGAGAGAATAAAATTAGATTATGTGTGCAAAAGTGCTCAGTAAATGTAAATGTAACTGGCAACTAAGCCATTGTTTTAATATTTGTGCCTGTTATTTTCCACTGCCATGTGTCTCACTCATCAGTGTTCTTATCTTTATCTTGTACCCATTACATATAGTAGGATTAACAACCTATTAAAATGATACCAGACCAGCCGTTCCAACATTCTGTTAGAGCAATCCATATATTATGCAAAAGTGGACCTGCAGAGTTAAGAACCAGGTTTAAAGAACTAGGCACATCAGTGATCACTGTGTGACTGGTATTAAACCCTTCACAAAGGGACATCTTTCTCATGTGTCAAAAATCTCTCTCTCCCTTCGACAAGTGTGATATGATGAGGCAAAAACCCCAGTAAGATGTCACATAATAATTTGCTTTAAAAATGATGAAAACAAGGACTATTTCAATGCAAAGCATTGGCCTGGAATAATGGAGAGTTGCAGCTTTCCTCATCACTAACCAACAAAATCAAGTATTTGTTTAGTAAAATTGTCTTCCTAACCCCGTTGTCTATGATCCAATACATGGGAACTCTATTCTTGACTATCATGAAGCTGCCTGTTGCTTGGATGGCTCAAATGAGGAGGACGTCAATGAGGATAAGAACTGAATGTGCAACAACAGCTTTCCACCGGCCTGACCGCACACAGTGACAACACTATACCTAGGCACCTTTTCCATGAAGAGAAACTTGGTCTGCACCTCTTTCTTCCAGGGCAGATATTTGTAGAAAATTCTAGAAAAAGAGTGAGAAAAAGCTGCTATGCTGGAAATAGTACGTGCTGGAAAAACTGCACATATTTCACTAACCTATTGGATATTTTTATGCTTTTGCCTCTTCAATTTTACTGTCCTGTAAAGATGCTGTTAACATCTTTCATGAGGGGCTGGGGATTTAGCTCAGCGGCAAAAGCGCCTGCCTGGCAAGAGCAAGGTCGTGAGTTCGGTTCCCGGTACCGGAGAAAAACCAAA